ACTTCCTCCCAGGTGGCATCTTCTCTCCAAGGAGCCCCTGTCGAAGCCGTCTTCAGCCCCTCGCCAAAGCCTAAGCAACATTCCCACCCCAGCAGCTCATCAGAAGGTTCACAAAGCAACGCTCAGCATGCAGATAAATAAGCACTTTCCCCTCAGTATAAATGCTGTTACTTCATTGTCCTCCTTGTGTCCCCTCAGGCTTTCGGAGATTTACTAAAATACATACACTCCATAGGTCTTGAAAACAACCCCAAGAGTAGAAAGGAAAGGGCAAAATGCTTTCATGGGCACCCACAGTTCCCATGTGGCTGTTTTCCAGCACACACATTTGCCAGGGTTTTCTCAATGCCTGCTGAAGCCCGGACCCTCTTTATTATGTTTGCACAAATGCTGAGGGCTCCTTCTGCCCCCAGATTCACTTATCACCGTTCGGCAGACAGAGGAATGGCAGGGAAAGGAAGCTGCCCACAATGTGGGGCCCAAAACAGGCCCACCAACTAGCGCACGGAGATGGCAATCAAAGCCAATGCAGGCAGAGCAGTATTTCTGGAAGGAACCTGATAAATGTTTAATAAAAGCCTGCAAAGTCACAATAACGCACTGAGAAAGATTATCGATATAACTAGATGGGCAACCTCCCCCCCACCCCGCCCAACCGAGTCCCAACTTTGTATCACCAACAGTGGCTTTGGTGTGAGGCTTCTTCAGATCCTTGTATGGAATAAGCCACCCATGCAAGGGGACATTTTACTGCAAGAACAGAGCTAAGCTGCACGACACTTCTGCTCACAATGCCTCCCACAAAGGCGTTACTAACCGCAGCCTGCCCTCCACCTGCCCAGTGCAGGCTCTTTTCTTCTTCCTTTTCCTTGCATCCACCAGGAGCATCTTCCTCAGCAACGCAGCCACCGCTGCTCTCCAAGTGAGCTCTGTGCAAAACATCTTTTTGATAATTCCACTCCCCAGATCAGGGAAGACAAGAAGAGGAAACATCTTCCCACCTTTCCCCCTTGGAGTGGCCAAGGCGTTCAGCAAAAACCCTGAGTGTGCCCCTAGGACAGAAATGCAGAATCTCAGGCGAGAGGCCTTGTCTCTGCTGATGCCCAGGAAAGCAGCACAGGCTCCCAGCAGTCCTCTGACCTTTCAGCAACCTCCTGGCAGTACCGGCAGTCAACATGATTTAGCTGGAAGCTATGCTGCCCTTTCAAACCAGTAAATACAACAAGCAGGTCATGCTCACGCGTGTCATACAGGGCTGCGCATCTGCAGGCCCAGCAGGCTGCCTCTACGCAGGGTTACACGCACACTGAGCAGCAAGATGCCAAAAGCTGGAAGCACCAAAGATAGCTGAGGACATCTCCTGGGCAAGGAAAGGACCTGAAAACAAACAAACAAACAAACAAACAAATAAACATCATCCTGTTTATAGAGCAAGCTGATGCCAAAGAGTCAAATCTCTTCTACATTTATCCTTAGGAATTTCAGTGGAATTTTAAGGAAGCATGAACTTATCAAGGACTCAGCACAGTTCACCCACTGTCTAGTTATTTTTTAAAAAGTGCCCACAGGCTTCTATTTCTTACAAAAACAGCCGGTAAATGTATTTAATTTTAGCTGTAGTTGTTTCTGACCACAGGACTGCATCTCCCCCCACAGAAAGCAGCAGCTGCCACAATGTTGATCACGGGATCTGGGGCACAGGGTTGCCTTTCGGCTTGAAGCAGCGCAGAGCTGGATCCTCAGTGCTGTCTCATCCAAACTTTTCCACTGGGCCCTTCGATCTCCTTATTAATCCCCGACTTTGGAAGCTATTAGACAGGTTTGTTGTCCTTGGCTTGACTGTGGATGATTTGGTCAAGCAACTTTGTCAGCCTCTTTGGTACAAGTAGCACATGGAGGAAAAACATGCAGTAGCTACAGAGCTAGAACTGCATGGGAAGCTCCCAGCCTGCTCCCAATTTTGTTATTCTTTCAGAAGTTGCCTTGTTATTCATGGGGAGAAGAGCAAGATCGGCTGTACTTTTTCAGAAATAGGCCCTACCTGCTCACCGTTCCTATCCTAAGGATTCAGAAAATCACTTGGGAAATGGAAGGTCCCGGATAAAGTCCATTCCTACCTCCTTCAGACGAGGGATACAACCCTCACCCTCTCACACGTCAGAAGAAGTGGCTACACCAGTCATGCATTGGATAAAAGAATGAATATGTAGGGGAGCTTCTGCTTGCAGGTGGGCATGTACCTGACCAGAAGGCTAGCAACAGGTCCCGGGAGGGTGAAGAGCCTGCACCTCCCATCTGTGCACGTGCTGCTCTCTCTCCCCATCTAGCACCTACTCATGTTCACTCACACACCCTGACATCTAAAATCCTTTCAAAAAAAGAAGTCTTCAAAAACTTTATAGAAAAACCAAAGAGCAAGTTTTACAAAACCTTGCATTTTCCAATAAAAGCTCTTACTTTACGAAAGGCTCTGAAATGTTCTGATAGCGACTGCAGGAGAAAGACAAAGCCCATTTTAATTATAAAAGGGAGTTAATAATCCCAGGCAGATCCAGGGCAAAAGGACTAGATCAAATCCACATAGAGGCATCATTATCAAAAGAAATACATTCAAAACAGAACAAGATTAATACAGAAAATTATTTGCATGCCTCAGTAGGTAGACAAGGCACTCACACCAGCCAGACTATCACCTAGAGAAATGGGAAGATCTTAAAGCTAAAGACAACTTTTAGGAAAGGGTTGTAATAATCCATTTGTTTTAGTCAAAGAAGAGGCCACATTGGCTTGGCTGAATGTGTTAAGCTTACAAAGATTAGTGGTCTATCTAGTGACTGACAGAGTAGAGAATCTCCCTCTATTTTTGTCATAGGGTGTGTGTGTAAATCAAAATATATCATGGCATGTGACATGAGTCAGTCAGAAACTTTTAATAAAAACTGGAAGTTTGTTTCATTTGGAGGGTGACATATTGTTTCCAGTGCTTTTCCCATGAGAATGCTTATTTTTCTGTGGGTCCTTGTTCTTTTTTTTATTATTAT